AACTCTTTTTGGACTTGTTAGGAGAATTTGAAAAAGGTTTTGGAACTATACATTCATTTTTGTCTGATTTCACGATTTGAGTGTTTTTTGAAGACAGATTTGAAACATGTTTTTCAGGACCCTTTTCTTTAGAGATTTTGGATTTATTTTTTGAAAGAGTTTCCCGCTTTTTCCCATGAGATTTGAGTTCCTCTTTGAAAGCTTCTTTTGCCTGAGTTATTGGGGAACCGCAGTCCGAAGCATTTAACTGCGGTTTCTTACAAAACTTAGATTGTTTTTGAAAATGTAGACTGGAGTCATTTGAACAAGAAGATTCAGGACTCTGAGAGCATTAACTGAATTCAAAATTTTCTTATGGTAATTCATATGATGAATTAGTTGAATGGTGACAGTGCTCTTGATTGTGGTTTGTAGTAAAGAAGATTGAACAACCGCAGAGAAAGTCAGGGATTTTTCTTTGGAAGGTAATTGAGTTGACTGTGTCGGAGACTGCAGTGAGAGGGACTACGGTCTATAGACAAGTGCAAACAGTTCTCAAGAAATTAGGGACCTTCCATAAGGATTTCTTCATCACAAATTAAAGAGTCCTGAGAAATGGAATGAATTTTTCCATTGCTGAGATTTTGATCACATGGATGATCCGAGGTTTCAGGAAGAATTTCCTCGATGACACAATTATTTCTCAGGTTATGAAGTCTACCGAAGTGGGATCTAATATCATCAGAAAATGTTTTGTCATTCACTGGGAAGTGAAACTCTCGGTCAGGAGGGATATAGGGACGGTCCTTGAAAAATCAGGGTGATGAGCCCTTTACGGTGGAGCACCCATTGGACCAAACCTAATCGTACGTGTTGTCAACGGTTCCATTATTGACAAGATTTTCAATGGCTTCGCTTTCGGTAAACTATTTTTCAACTAATAAATTCAAACGAACAATTTTTTTTGTGCTAAATCCCTCTGATCTAAAGCTATTCCTAATTTGGTTTCACATAACATTATTGAATGCTTTTCTAATACTAAATCTCTTTCTAACATGACCAATTTGTGTCTTTTATCTTCTAGACGTCCTCTTACATGGAACATTTACTAGGATGCTATGTACTTCTCATATAGGGCCTTGTTATAGTCTGAAAGGATGACAACACAAGTGTCATTAAGGTTGTCTAAGAAGGGTTCACAATCATGTATGTTATAATGAAGAGTTTGAATCATAAGTTTTACATGTTCGACTAGGCTCAGATTTCCGTCTTTGGCCATGAAGCAGTAGTTATTTTCTAGCTTTGTCAAACCATCTTCATTAGCAGTTTCCAGCATGCAAATTTTACCCTTGCCCTTGATGTTGAGGTCTTCATCCTCATCCCCTGACGACCATACTTGATGATCTCTTTTCACCTGGGCCACATATGCCCCTTCCTTTTCCTTTTCTTTCATATCTTGTGCTATTCGGAGATAAAGGAGTTTTTCTTTACTATATTTGCTTTATAGTCCTTAGCAAAATGATTCTATTTGTTTAACTTATGAAAACTGACAACATCTTCTTTAACTTCGGTCGAGGGACCAAAGTCAGTTGGTTTAGCAGGTTGCGGTATCTCCTTGGCTTAATGACAGTTTAGAGGTTGTGGATATTGGTGAGGGTGTTTTGGGTATCGAGGGTGATTTTTTTGAGGGTTGAAGTTTCGGTTAAAGGGAGGCTTTGTGAACTGTTGAATTTTGCAAAAGGAGGTTGGATGCAATTGATTGGACCACTGACTAACAAGAGCAATAAATTTATGGAATTCCTCTTTATCATCATACTCTGTGTCATCTTCGTAAGAATGCGGTGGGTTTTCATATGAGAGAAAGTAAGGTTGAGGAGTTATGTTTTGTAGAGTTCGGGCCATGAGAGCAAGTGGCCATCCGAAGTCAGCACAATCTATGAGAACAATTGATTCTTGTGCTTGAATTTCTTCGTACATTTTAAAAAAAAGAGAATGAGTGAATATTCCTGTCATGTTGGACTATCATCTTTGTGGTAATCCAGTGTTTCCCCAAACCGTTATGAAACTGAAGATTGGTTTCATGGTTTCTGCAGACAGTGCCATCATTCAACAATTTGGTAACAATAAGGTTGAATCTTTGGAAGGAGTCCTCAAGGATTTCTCCCACTTGAGCTTCAAAGTTACTGAACTCATTGAGTGCGGTGGTGAGCTTCTTATCTTGTGCCTGCTCTGAAGTTTCATACATATTTTTGAGAACTTCCCAGATCTCTTTGGCTGATTTGCAATTGATGATAATGTCAAAGTTGTCAGGAGTAACTGCACATGATATTTCATAAAATGAAATTACATCATTTTCCATTTTATCGAGATCATCCTTAGTGGGATGATTTATGACAGGTTGGCCTCCTCCAAGTTTGGCTTGAGTACCGTCAGCTTGAACTGGAGTATGAATAGGGACATGAGGTCTTTCTTCTTTAGATCTTCACAAATCTCATCCAAGTCTTATTATACATCTCTCCATCCACTAGGACCAGTGATGAAACTCATTTTCCACCAGCATTGGAGGTCTATTCGAACCTCCAACACTGTTGGAAACATTAAGAGATAATGCTTGTGCAATATTTCCTTGATTTGATATATTTTTTTTATTTTTTTAAGAAAAATGGCCTTTAGTGGTATAGAAGGCATTTCAAAATCAGAGTTTTGTTCAAAAAGCAACCACTTTGGCTCTGATACCAATTGTTGAGAGAAAAAATTTTGAGAAACACACTTGAACAAACGTTAGAACAAGTTATAATGTAGAATAAGTTTAACTTAAAGGATCATAAAGCTCCATAATAATAAGAAGTTATAGTTAGAAATTTAGATAATTACATATGGAAATTTAAAGACGAAAATGTCAGGAAATATAAATGACAACAAGTATTATATCATGTAAACACTAAGCTGATTCTTAACAAGGATTGCATTCAAACCAAGTTAGTAAGTGTAATAAGCTTAAAGTGCTTAAGTCAAGAGTGACTTGCTCCTAAGGAGAGATTATGATATTAAGATTAGATATAAGTTTGGTAAGATCTTTGAGAGTAAGAGAGTAATGAGAGATGATGTATGACATAGGATGTAAAAGAGATGTGTTTTGCAACTGAAGCGGACGACTCTATTTAGAGAGTTCCGAGAACATTAGAGGTGAATAAAAAAGACTATAAAAAAGTGTCCATGCAAGGCACACTGGACAAAATATAGTAAATATATAAGTTAAAAACACTATGTCCTTGTTCTGATACGAAGGTTGCGGATGTCATCAACACTTCTCGTTGCTGTAGCAGAAGCATCATTGCGGTAGAGAGAGGGATTTTAGATTGACGTTCAAGAGGGTCACTTTCTTGATTCAACATATCTGCCTTTTATTTGGAGTTTTTATTCGAAATACAATTGATAGTGATTAAGGTATAATCCTAAAATCACAAAGGAAGATATTTCAACTGATAGAAAGTAAATCATATCTAGTAGGGTTTATTTCATCCTTTATTACCCCTAAAGATTTATATGGTAGTAATGATTTATTTCTCAACTTCTTATTTAAAAACTTCAAAAGACTTCACATTTATCTTTTATCATATACAATATAATTACAATGACTATAGTTGTTTATTAAGTGGATGTGGTACGTTGTACTAGATCAAGACATTCATTAAAAGGGAAGTGATACATCACCATGTATAGTTCCTTGATAATTATTTTCTCTATTGTTTAGTGAAAATAAAATTGGTAATATTTTATATATAAATAACATACAAATATGTCAAAGAAATTATATTTAACTTCCTTCAAAAATCCATTTATTGAAATCAACATATGTGTAATTTATTTATATAATAACGTTAATAATGTCATTTGAATTATATCCGACTATAAAGAGTTTTCTTATAGAACATTTATCATAGAGAATATTGATATTTACTTTATAATTCTAGTAAGAGTTATAGTTCTTGAAATCAAAATTAATCATTATACAATATAAATGTGATCGTTATGAAAAATGATTAAGTAAATAATCAATCATCTAATCAATTAACTTAGACATAAATTTAGCCAATCTAAATTCAAACATACATTGTTAAAAACAAATAATTTTTTACAATACAATTGTTTTATGTACAAAGTATAAATAATAAACTTGAAGAGTGAAGTTCCAACTTACTTGTTCTTAACTACATACTCTTCTTGAATATTTTTAAACATTTAAAGATATTTGATTAACATCTAGTCTCAAGTACTTTAGTTTTGTATAAAAAATATAAATTCTGTCTTTTATATATAGATACAAATATATATATATATATATATATATATATATATATATATATATATATATATATATACCTGAATTGCCGGTTTGACCACTTTTTCTTAGATAAGAACAACAATTCCTATTCTATTGTCTCTTTTCTTGAAAATAGAAACAAAATCCATCTTTAATGGACTTTTTTGATTTCTTGGCCTTATATGTATGACTTCCATGAACTAAGGGCCTTTTAGAAACAAAATCTATCTTCAAGGGACTTTTTCTTAGATAGCACCCATGTTTCCTACTAGATTAGTCATAATCGGTAATCACTTATGTCAACTATTATAACATTTATATGAATGAATAAGAATGGATATATTTATGTGCTTATGTGTTTTATACGATATTTTATGTGAATTATATGATTATTTAATGAGAAAATAAATAAGATTACAATATGCATAAAAAATAAAAATTATTTTGGATAAATAACCTTAACCATATAAATAACAATGGACTTTTTGTTGCTCAAATCCCAAGAGAATTGATTTAAGAAAGCAATGGATCAAATCGAAACGCAGCATGAAGAACGATTGATATGTCATGTTGAGAGTATTCAATATGAAGTTAAAGAACTTGGTGCGCTGGCCAAGGAACGCCATATACTTTTTGTTGAAGAGGTCAAGAAGTACAAGATTCTGTAAATCTAAAGGTGGAGTCCCTTAAGTTTGAAATGTCGAAGGAGGTGGATAAGTTTGAACAAAGTTATTTGTCTCTTCATGGAAAAATCGATGTTGTTTCTAAGACTATCAGGAAACTTCTGGAAAATTATACTTCATTCTCAACCAAGGATTCACAAGTGTTTACCAAGATGGAAGAATTTGTGGGAAGCTTGAAGGAGTCAATTTTGAAGATGGATACTTGTCACATATATTATGTTTCTCAGGAGTCTTTATCCCATATGATTTCTTCATTCAAATCCAATCTTAAAGCTGAGCTTGCTCCTCGCCTAAAGCTTGTTAATTTGATGCCAACAGATGCCCCACCTATCAAAATAGTGATGCAAGGGGGAAAAAAGGGGGTTGGCTCATCAGAGGATCCTACTCATGGGAAGGTTGTGGGGAAGGTAATAAAAACGTAATTTCTAACATCCCTTCCTGTCGGTATGATAACAACTTCAACCATGGTGACTTTGAACCATTTACAAAAGGCATAATCATTGGTGTTGTTGCTGGGGGTTCAAGTTCAAAGCCACCACCTTCAAAAAAAGATAAGGGAAATAAAGGAAAGGGGGTTGAGAAAGAGATTTTAGAGGAGGAGAAAAGGAAAAATATTGAAAAGGAGATTGAAAGATAGAGACAGATTAACAACATAATGAGACAAAGGCAAGGTGATCCACCAAGTCTTGGTAAAGGAGATCTATGCAAGCAATATTGTTACGAGACAATCGAACAAATTGTGTCATCTACAAATATTATTGATTTTTAGAAGCCTCCTAAAAAGAGTTATGAGATAGAAAATATAGATTTCAATTAGTTGGATTTTCGCATCAATCAGATGATGTTTATGTCAGCTAAATATCAGTTAGTGGATAAGTTTAAAGATAAGGAGGAATATAAGAAGTTAAACCTGGGATTTCATGTTATACTTGTAAAGAAGGAAGAGGTAGTCTAGTCCTTGGTAAAAATTGTTAAAGTTCTCAACATTTCCAAGGATACATTGTTCGAAGGCTTGTTATAGAACTTTGATATCATGTAGTTTGTGCTAACAATGTGGCATGCGACTTCTCAGTAGCTGCTTTCCCCTTATGAATTTGAATGATCTCATTTTTGTTGTAAAGATATTGAGTGTTGTTGATATTTCAAAACTTCAAGTTACCACTAAAGAAGATCGTTTTATTAGTTTTGCACATATCAAGCTATTCATAGGTAATTACTAGGATTGTCTAGCTTTGACGGATGTTTAACTTGCTTTGGCAATGGGTAGAACAGTGGCAGTACCTCAATCAATGCTAAAAGGTCAAGGAAATCTCAAGAATTTTGAAGATGGAGAGATATGTGTTAAGACGTTGTTCGTTGTGAAGAATAAGAATCAGAAGATAAAAAAGTTCTTATTTCAAGGTGATGATGTGGAAAAGTATACAAATTCGCAATACACGAATCTTCGTGTCCATCTTAATAATTGCAAAAGGAATACAATAGGAGATAAAGGCTGAGATCCGAAAGATAATTGTCTGGTACATGGAGATTCGTAAGGTACTCCATCAAGCCACAAAGATGCTAATGACATAGATTTGACACTTCTCACAAATGGGGAGAATGTAGAGTTAAAAATGTGTTGTGAGATGATGAAGTACTTTTAGGCTTGATCAGTTTCAAAGTGTGTATTGTATATTTCAATGTATATATTTCATAAGGATATTTTTAGAGTTCGAAGCATAAGTGTCTTAGCCATTATGTATTTTTTGTTAGCTTATGTTGTTCCTATAAATAGGGATAGGTATAGAAGTAAGAGTAAGAGTAACTTTTGGCACTTTGTGTACATTACTCTTTCGTTCTCTTGTATTCTTTTAGAAGCATTAATAGAGACAAACAGATCATATTTACATTATGTGTTCTTAATATAAGTTGTACTATGATTTTGTTTCATATGAACTTCAAGTTATAATATACACAACAAGGATTTCGTACATATAAAGAACTCTGAAATCCGACTTCGTATGTAGAAGTTATCCTTCTTCAAAGTTTCGTGATTAAACTAGCATGGTTCTACGTATCGTAAGAATTAAATTTTTGATAAATTAATTTCCAGGCCAAGTGATCTAAACAAAAGGGTAGTAGTGAATAAACCAAGAGTGTGCATGTAAAGAACGTCCAAATTTTACTTTGTGAGAGGATGTTATAATTTTTCGAAGTTTTAACATAGCAGTGCGGGCACAAAAATAGAAATTCTACTCGGTTGATTGTTAGCTGAAACAATCTAAAAGAGAATTTAAGATTTAATAAAGATGAACCCGTAGATAAAAAGACAGTTGAGAATAAAAGTCATATAAATAAGTTATGGATTTTTCAAAGACTTTAAAAGTCTATACGTACTGGTCTAAATATGATTTTTTAGAGCAAGAATTAGATTTTAATACCATAATGAAAGTTGTAGAGCTTGTTGAGAGAATTTCAATGATATAAAGAAATTTAAAAATGGAGACCATATAAAGAAGTTATGCTATTTTGAAAATCTAGAAAATCGCATGCACAAAGTGCCCGATGCACATGATGACACAACACCACGAGAGAGCGCCACGTGGCATGGTTGGGGGTCGCCTTCCTCCGAGCGACACATCAAAGTGGCTCCACAAAATCTTGATACATCGCTGCATAGATGTGTCACATGTTTCACATTCTAGAAGGAGGTAAGGTGGAGCAACTAGTTCCTGACACATGGCAGAAGGCCTATGGAGCAAGCAACCCCCTTAGGCACGACGCACCCTTATGCCTTTCGCATTGTGCTTTTCAAAAGCCTATATATATATATATATATATATATATATATATATATATGTGTGTGTGTGTGTGTGTGTGTGTGTGTGTGCGCTTCATTTTACTATAAGCTCTTCACATCTAGCCCGTGGAACTCTTCTCTCTTAATTCTGCTTCTTATAGACCCTTTTTCATTGAGTTTCTATTCTACGGCTAACCCCTATGACACCCATGATTGTTCAACTAGTTGTAACCTTCAAGTAAAGGTTTTTGAGTTAGTATTTTGTCCTCTAAGTTGTTGATTTTTTATCAATAGAACGGAAACTTACTCTACTTCCATGTAATTTATTTTATTATATCTATAAGTCCTTACTAGGAACTTATAATTATGATTTATCAATGTTTCCATGTCATTATGAAAAATTGATCTACTTATGGGAGAGTTGACTAGAAGGGCCACATCGACTTAGTTGTTGGATTTCAGAAAGGCTATATACCAAAAATGGTCCTCCATCATGATTGGCTACATCTACTTTGGGATTGTTTAAGAAATCCCTTAGGATAACAGTTCGATGAAGAATGAAATTAGACTAAGATTTAGTGTTATATACATCTAGGTATTTTGGAAAATGTGTAAGGTAAAGCTTTACCCAAGTCACCAATCACCAGACATCTTGTCAAGTGAGTGCATGTCACACCCCAAAAACAGGAACGACGAAAACGTTCTGGGGTAGAGGACGTCATGAACAATATCACAACAATGAATAGTAGTAAACAACCAACAGCATCATCCATTGCATAATAATATAATTTTAATACAAGTGTTCTGACATGTTTAATAGACGCTAAAGTATATATCAAAATGAAAGATGAGTCTTGAATGAGCTCCATCTTCTCTAAACCTTGCATCAGTACCTATCTACTACTGACCTGAGGATACAAGTTATTTTGAAAGAGAGTATCACCTTTAAAGCTGGTGAGATCATAAGTATTTTAGTGTCTGTATTTGTAAGAATGTATTTTTAAGTATGAGTATCTAAAAGTTTTGAATATCCTAGAAAACCCTATGCTTCCTACTGAAAGTAGCCTTCTACCAAGGTATCTAGTATCTAACGGTGTCTCTTGTAAGAGTGTGTATTTTCCCAAATCTGCTATCATTAACCAAAAATATAGTATTTACATTACCGTGCATCGTGTGAATGTTCACGAAGTGAATGTAATGGGGAAATATGTCACACCCCGAAAACCGAAGGCGGAAACATTTCCAGGGTTGACTCCACGTTGAGTATCAAATCCAATGCACATAGTAAGTAAAGTAAAACAACCATTACATTACATAAGAAAAGTTTTACAGTTGTTTCAAAAGTAAAGTTTGTACAGTTGTGATACATAGTATATATAAACAAAATGAAACGGGTCTTCATGTACTCCATCTTCTGACCAAAAAGGAATCTTCGGGTACCTGTTCTAACGCTGACCTGAGAACACAAGCGGTTTAAAAACCAGCATAACGCTGGTGAGTTCATAAGCGGTTTTTGTTTGTAAAAATGTTCAAGTTTCCTTTCTGATTCTGAAACGTTACGCGCACCAAGAAAATCCCATATTTTCTTAAAAGTTGGTTGTTGTTTCACACATGTAATGTATAGTAAGTTTGTACACTAAAAACATGTCTATTCATGTGAAAATGTATAGTTTGGTTATCCGGCTTGTTAAACTGTTCTGTTTACTTATCATGTATTCCCAGGAAAGTCCCATACTTTCCTTATTGTATATTACCAAATGTAAAAGATGTAATGTTACCCGGTTTGTTACCCTTTCTAGTTATGTAGGTGTTACCCAGGAAAGCCCCATGCTTTCCTACATGTTGGTTTCTAATGTGAACGATGTAAAAGATGTAAAAGATGTAAACGTGGTTAGGTTCCATTTTCCCCAGGAAAGTCCCATACTTTCCTGAATGTTAGTTACCGTACGTGAAAGATGTAAAAGATGTATAAAGTGGTTCATTATTACTATAAGTAAATCTCTGTTATCCTAATTGCGAGTTCCATAACCATACGATGGACTAAACCTGTGGCAATAAGTAGTCCACATGTGGCAATAAGTAGTCCACATACTTATGACTTTCGTCACCCTTGAACCATTTGGGTTCGGCTGTAGCTAGCAGCCAGGCATAGGGTAGTCAGCCCCGTATAGATCTGTACACTCAAGTCAAGCTCTCTAAATACCAGAGATTCTGGTTACGGGTGCAGTCCTCCACTCGCGTATCTCTATGGTGTGTTCGCAGAGGACGTGTCTCCAATCATACAGGATTAACAACTTTACTAGTAATAATATGATAGTCCTCCACTCGCGTATTTATGTGGAGTGTTGCCGAGGACAAAACAGTGTACAGGTATTATGTTCAAATGTTCTAATGTCATGCTTTTAACTGATAAAACGTGGAAAAAACCATCTGTGAAATATATGTAAAACATAACAGTTTAAAAATCCATTTCACAAATATATGTTTACGTGATCTGCATGTTCAAACAGTTATCAGTTGTACCAATCAGAGTTAAAACCATATAAAATGTGAAACACACACATGAAAACATATTTTTTAGTACATGTAATCCCTTGTACTTTTCTTGTGTTCCCCCCTGAAAACAGTGAAAACAGTGAAAAA